AAAACTTGTGCAAATCGACCGTGAACAAGATAGTGCTGCTGTGGTCCGGTTCAGTCCGGTTCAGTGGGGGTTGGGCAAGAACGGTAGACCGAACCCACCCAAACGGCAGTACGGTCACGTCCGGTTCTCTCAAGGTTCGAACGTGAACCAGACCAAAAAAAAATAGATCGTAATTTCAGCAAAAACGACACTTAAACATCTACGAGGAGTTAAGATAGATCAGCGAACAAGTCTGCCTGCCTCGCTGCCTCGGAAACAGCTGACACATGTCCATTCTTGTATGTCGCCTTCAAGAATTGTAGTGCAGAGAAAGTGGATGGCACCAGTGAATTGCGACGGATAGTAGACGTAATGGCCCCGCTAGAGAATGCTTGCTCGCACGGAACTGCACTGCCTTGGATGAAAAGATAATCACGTGCGATTCGAGTAGCATCAGTAATCAAGCGAGGTGGTATTTGGTATACGGCTTATATTATATATAATGCAACATACCTTAAGGACATTGTAGACTAGTTGCAACCGTTTCAAATTAGCTCGGTCAAGTTTGATATCTTGATATTTTTTGTTTCGAAGCTTCGGGAGCTCGGGACTCTCATCAGCGAGATTTGTGAAGCACGTTACAGCCTGAAAATGATGAGAAATATATAATGCATGAGTCAGGATGTTTCACTTATGGGACGGAGAGCTATGAAGCGCTCGAGGCACTTGGACAACTTGTGATGTCCAGCGCATCCTGACACATTGAAGAAGGTCAAAGGTAGGAAGGTCTTCCTCCTCGCACGACTTTTGGAAGAATGCTCGGGCTTGTGGTGACTTGCGAATCTGCCGACGAAAGTGAGACAATCGTACCAGCAGTAAATGTCAATATATACATCCGAAACTCGACTTTACCTGTTAAATGAGAGCAAGATGAGTGGGATTCGGCCATGTCAGATCTGAAGGTTTGCTACAGCGTGCGTAGCTAGTAGGAAGGTGTGAGTGCGAAGGAGAAATATAGACTGCTTGATAGGAAAGAAAGGCGATAAGTCTTGGATGACAGATAACGAGTGCGTGAATGGTAAAGAGCGTCAGAATTATGAATAAAGATGAAGTTAGTTGATAGCGTTATATGGCGTGTGCTGTTGAATGATAGTTGGTGCGTTGCTTGTTGGATGGAATATGTAACAGGGGTTCTGATTATCGCTTGTCAATAAAGACTGTACATGAACTACTTATACTGAGAGGAATGAATTAACGACGGGTCGTCCGGGTACAGCTAGAGCCAAGTGGCTTGGTTTACGACCAGTGAAAGCAGCAGCGGAAGGGAGTAGCGTTGTACTTGACAGAATAACGAAGAGTTATTGACAGGTTGAAGACAGTGGCGATACGAATATTAATGGAAGAATTGCGACGAAAAGAAGGGTTTAACGAGTGACAGGAATTGAAAAATTAGGTACCAATGAAGGGGTGGTGTAGTATCGTGCTTGAAAGCTTGACAAATGGTCCAGGCGTGAACGTTGTGGTGACATAAGGTTCGGAACCGTTCAGAACCGAAGGAGAACCATTCTCGGCGACATGAACCGAGAGCCGAGAACCGTATTCCGGTTCGGTCCGGTTCAATGGCATCAAAGTAGACCGGACCGTCAAGAACCGGACCATTGGTCAGGTTCGAACCACGGCATACTCTCCTTCCTATCTAGCGACTAATCAAGCATGCAGGATGGAATGTATGCGCTCTCACAGCTCCTTCTCCAACATACGACGGTGGGTGTATCGAGACCTACTTCATCGGCACAGTCAACATGTCAAGGAGTCCTCACCGCAGGGCCCGATGCCACACGGGGGGTCACAACACCGCAAGCGCGCATCATGATTTTTTGCTCCACACGTTGTCGCAGAGAAGGACCAGGGAAGTACGTCTCCCTTCCGGTGTTGGAAGTGAATAATCCACATATTGAACTTAAGGGATTGAACTACAACGGCTGGATAGTCTAGTGGTTAAGATCCCCCCGGAGCTGGGAAGGTCTAGGTTCAATTTCTAGTCCTGCCATACTTTTGGGTTTCTCACACCCGCCGGGGCTCAGAAGCATCGTCAGGAGGAGCTCGACCTCCGTCGGCAGGCAGCTGCACCTGCAACACACTGTACGAGTTGAGACACTTCGTTACTAGGTAGTGCATTGCCTTTCCTTGTCCCTAGAGCTTACTCGCTTGTCGAGACTTTTTATTTCTGCAACCCTGACTCCTCATACAAGAATAGCATTGACCTCAGTCCAGGTACTATACATCGAAAGATTGCGGCAAAACCGACATCAATAACGCTCTACGAATTAGAGAAAGTACTCTCAACCCGTTGTTGAGGGCCAAACACCACAGAAGCGCGCCATTTCGGTCTTACTAGATGACGAACAGGAGGAAGACCCTCTTAATGTTCCCATTCCTACTAGCAGGTAAAGCGGGTCACTCATCTTTGAACAGGTTACTGATGTGGTTTTGTGGGGTTCGATTTGCCCAGCGGGAAGACCATCGCCTTGACATCAATGGCTAGGCAGTCACAGCCAAAGGCAGGACCATCATCTCGCCTTCCGGAAAGCGAAGAACACGCAAAGGCACAGTCTTCCTAGTCTGGTTGCATCCCTTGAGTCATACCATATAAGTACCATGTTTTCACTCGCCCCCGACGGTTGTTCGAACTCACCACTTGCTTCGCGCCTCACATCATGCACTTCAATTACTACTTTTGCTTCCCATGTATTGCACTTGCAATTTCGCTCGTTGATCAGTTCGTCTCTCTTAATCTTCTCAAAGTCGTCGCCATGAGCGGCTTCGTCCTATCTCGTGTTTGACGAACTTATGACATCGCGTCCAATGCAACCCAAAGTGTGGCCCCGGCATAACTGCATACGGTAATGGAGAGGACAAAATGCCAATTCGTGCCTCCACAAAGCCTGCAGCATCAGTGACAGTCATTGTATCAATATCTCGAGCTTGAAAAGCCATCATTGAGGCCTCTGCTCTGCATACTAATACCCCATATGCAACTTCCGCACTCGACACTATATGAACTGTATTACGCGAGTCCAACTTGACATTTTTTCTCTCACGTAGCGCATTTTTGGGCGCACAAGCTATTTGTACTGAGGTCAAGGAACATGAACAGGTCGATATAGATTTAGGGAATGAAAGACATCCAACGAGATCTAGGTGAACGAGCTCAAGGGTCAGTGGAAGGAGAAGCAGCTGGCATGGCGCGAGACAGTAGAATGCCTCCACATGAACAATCTGTGAGATACAGGTCGTGCGTGTTGAGGAACGATGGATACAATACGCACATGGTTTGGCGCGCGCGAGCAGGACTTCGAAAGCAAAACGGGAAGAGGAGTGGAGGACGAACCATAAAAGTGTGTAGTGATGCGGGTGATTCATACTCGAAATGAGGGAAGTGATTTTGGGAACGAGCCCCAGATTTAGCACTCACTGACTCAATTCGATCCCGGTAACTATCCATACTCAACGAAAAATAATGCAAGAGATGAGTGGATGGGGGCCTGGGGGTCATCCTGCCACCCACGGACCTTTGGCGCCAGCCTGAGCTCGCTTAGGTAAGTGCCGCTCGGATTTTCAATTTCCTCGTGCTCAATCTTGTGCAATTTTTGTGATGCGGTCTCTCAAGCAGCAAACGCGAAGCATTTGCGGCTGCGCTCCCATGATGAAACGAAGGAAGAACGAAAATGATTCCATGTTCATGCCCTGCATAAGTATGTCAACTCAAATGAACTGTGTTTGACTTTGATGTTTGATACCTCCGATAAGTCAGTATCGGTAGCTATGGGTGCCTGGTGCTGAGACCGGGGAGGTCGTCGCAGGTCTCCTGGATCACTTTAGGTATTTCCCCTGACAGCGAGCATTTTAGCTAGCGGGTTAATCGAGGTCATTCGCACGCAGTCAATTCATCACTATGGGATAGCACCACCTGGCAGAGGAAAGGTGCCAGCGATCTTCTGGGGTATGGATGATAATGGTGCATATACGACGACAATGACAGCTCCGAGTAGAACCAATCCCCGAAACAAAATGGAAAGGATGGGTATGGATTCGCGAAATTGTTCTCTTCGTATTGTATGCAATTACAGCGATATGAGAGCGACCCAGAACCATACATACATGTGTGCTAGTGGACGCGACCTGGAGAGGATGAAGCCTTTGATGACGTCGATTCAAGCAGAGAGCAAAAAGTCAATGGGCCAATAAGTGAGATTACAAATAAAATACATGCGAAGCAATTGTCGCAATCGAAGTGCAAGATGTGGGGTACAGAATAAGCGGTAGGTTCGAACAATCGTCGGGCGTGAGTAAAAGATGGTACGTGGTATCAGGTACAATTGTTCGAGAGATGAAACTGAACTAGGAAGACTGTACCCCTGGATGTTCTTTGCTGTCCGGAAGGCGAGATGGTCCAGCCTCTGGCTGTGACTGGCTAGCCATTGGTGTCAATGCAATATCTTCCTGCTGGAGAAATCGGACCCTACGAATGTGTCAGGAACCCGTTTAACAGCGAGTGAGCTATTGTACCCGGTAGGTACCAGAACATCGAGAGGGTCTTCCTCCTGTTCAGCATTCATAAGATCGATGTCATAGACTTGCAGTGGTGGATCAGGCTTCGTCTCTTTCTTCTGGAACCAACTAAGGCAAAACAAAAGTGCGTACGGTCGTCTTCCGTCTTCATCACTTGCAACATAGTCGCCCTGGCAATTCATGGAGTCAGCCCTCACGAACTCAGCAGAATGGGAAAACGAACGTATGTCGCTTGTCCGAGAGGAACATCAATAGCTTGTAGTGCCTCTCTTTCCTCTCTGCGATCCTTTTGCTTCCCCTTCGTGTCTGACAACGGCCGCATGCGATTGAAGAAGTCCTTGACACCATGCAAGCGAGTGGATGGACTACTATCCGCATCGGCACGGAAGGGAAGTGCAGAGTGAGAAACTTCTCGACGAAGCATCTCAGTGCGTCGGTGTGCCACATTGCGGCGCTGGCCGAGTATCTCATTCTAGAAGAGTCTGAAAAACACGGCATTGGTAATCATGAAACCGCGTACATCAAGATGACTTTTTAGATTCTGGTGAGTAGTCAATATGAGCATTGATTGTGAGGTGTTAACACGTGCCTTTTGTTTGCCCCGTGATGGATCAACCTGGCGTGTGTGCTTATAAGCTTGTAAGCAGCGGCAGTTGAAAATAGTAGCCACCTGAGTATTTGGTTCAGCTGCTAGAGGATCACTGCTTGCTGCTATAAGTACATCCTCCGGTATCTCCCATTGCAATATTTCCTTGTCATGACCACCACTGAATATAAAACGTCCATCCACAGAGAACGCGACACGAAACACAAATGCCGAGTGCTCGTACCGCGCGACCTCTGTGCCTGTGGAAAGCTGCCACAAGCGAATGGTGTTGTCGTAGGATGCCGATGCAAGAAGAGTACCCGCTGGATTCAGGATGATATTATGAATGTCCCTGTCATGGCCAGTCCAGGGATCTCCAGCCTGTTTCAACGTAGAGGTGTCCCAAGAGCGGATGACGGGATCATTTTCATCACCTGCTGAGAGGAGATGGGTGCCATCATGAGTCCAGGTGAGCGACGAGTTGTAACTGTTGTTGAAGTTGCCATGGCCTTTGAATTGAGCCAGACGCTCCCTTTGATCAGAGTTCCATACTTGGATATCTTCTTCGGTTGCAATGCCGAGTTGACCGTTTGGAGAAAATTGTACCCAAGTGACATGTGCGCCACACTCGAGAGGTGGACCCTTCCTCTGCCAGGTGGTGGTGTCCCATAAAATAACTGTGCAATCGATCGACCCGCTAGCCAGAATGCCACCGTCGAGAGAAATATCCAAAGCCAACACAACGTTGGTGTGACCGTCCAGTGGGCCTGCGATGACCCTTCCAGTGTCAGCATCACGCACCCATAGCTGCCAATAGGCTATCTTATGCAAGTTGTTTTCTGGGTCATCTCCCTCGGCGCTGACCACCTGCTTACCGTCTCTCAATACTAGAAGTGCGCCGACTTTCTTCTTCACAACCCACTTCTTCATCTCTCTGCTGTCCTCAAGTTCCCATATCCGTATCGTCTTATGCCATGACCCAGTCGCTATTCTCTTGCCGTCTGGAAACGTGGCAATGGACACGATGTCATCCTCATGACCTTCAAATGTCTTGACAGGATCTTGATGTGTTTCAGCTAGTTGCTTGCCATCCTTCATGCTGGGCTATTCTACAGGTGCTTTGTCCAATATTTCTGAGGGGGAGTTGGAGCAAACAAAGAGTAGAGCACGGGAGCCACCTACCGTCGTTGAAGTGATGGTTTATCTGGAGGTGCGTTGTTGGTGCAATGCGTCTACAGCACGCGACTCATCACATGAACAAGGCCTCGTGAGCTGCTATCTTTCTAGACCCTGGTGCCTATGCACAGCCCCATCTCGGTCCGTTTCATGGTCTGAAAAATGGGCTGTCTGTATAACTGTATTCCTCTCTGTCATTGCCGGCGTCTGTGTATATATGCCAATACTTCCCTGCCACCCAGTCATACCCTTCCATGGGTTTTCAATAGTTGCGGGTATCGGACTGATTCAGCGAATGCGACATCTGGTCTCATTTACAGGATTACTTCCCTACCTCCTTTTCAGTTTGAATCACACGCATCACGACGTCATGGTGTGTGCTCCGCTCTTCTTGCCGCTTTGCTTCCGAAGTCTTGCTCCCGCGGCTAGGCTACCGATTCAACAATTGTTCGTTTGTATATGGCCGACCTAGTGAACGTTGAAGGCAAGATTGGTGTGGTATCCTGGATGAAACGACATTCGACCGTGTTCACCAACGCTATTCAGCAAGGTCGCAATGGCGACATCATCTTGCGTTATTGGCGGGTCGGATATATTTCAGATTGACGCGAGTCGGGCGTTATCGATGTGGGTTCGGTCGCAATCTTTCAATGTATACCACATGGACCAAGGGGACTATGAGAAGGATCAATACACGCGTGCTGCGCATCTGGTGT